CCTGACTTGGACAATCTTGAGCACATCAGACCAGGTGTGTAACCCTGAGACTGTGCACCGCTGGCCACTTGGAGGCGCTGTGGCTCCTCAATGCTGCAGGGAACCTGGGGAGGGCTGGGAGGGTGGCCCAGGGCAGGAGGGCTGCAGGGACTGCGTGGGTGAGTGCTTGCATCAGGGGGTGGTTGGAGTTCAGGTGAGTCCTGAGATAAACACAGAGTCCTCACTGCCCAGGGAAGGGTAGGGGAGCTACAGGCCTCAGTATACACCAAGGGGGAGTTTCTGTGCACCTGCCTGGGCAGTGGACGGTGAAGGGGATGCTGTGGCCATGGCTGGGGAGTCAGTGTCAGGGCAGGACAGGGTGGCAGAGGAAGATAAGGTGTGGTGTGGGCATGTGGGGACCGTGCTCAACCCAATGCATCTTTAGTTTGGGGCTGCGCAGGACAGCAATGGTGCATGGAGCAGCAGAGCCTGGGGCCTGCCCACGTGAGCAGTGAGTGGCAGGGGTGGCCTGCAGGGAGAGTAACTCAGGGCAGTGACATCACAGGCCAATGCTGCTATCAGGGAGAGGTGAGTTGAGAACGTCAGCATGCTTACTACAGGAGACCCACCCCTGAGCCGGGGGATGCCATGGGTCCTGAGGCTGCCATGGTCTCCAGGCTCTTCTGCTGTGTGGCCCTTTGTCTCCTGGGAACAGGTGAGTCCTGGACGCACCTTGGAAGCCTCTGATCTCCATTTCCCATCCCTGAAATGCAAGCAGGCAAGGATGCCTGCAGTGGCGGGGGGGCTTCCTCCTGCGCTCCACCCTTAGCTTCTGTCTTCTGCCACACAGGCCCAGTGGACTCTGGAGTCACGCAAACCCCAAAACACCTGATCAAAGCAAGGGGACAGCAAGTGACACTGCAATGCTTTCCTATGTCTGAACACCTCTCTGTGTCCTGGTACCAACAGCACCTGGACCAGGGTCCCCAGTTCCTCATCCAGTATTATAACGGGGAACAGAGGGAAAAAGGAAACATCCCTGCTCGATTCTCAGGACAGCAGTTTCGTGACTATCACTCTGAAATGAACCTGAGCTCCTTGGAGCTGGGGGACTCGGCCCTGTTCCTCTGTGCCAGCAGCTTAGCACAGCCCTGCCTGATCTTCAGCCTTCTGTACAAAAACACCCCTGCCCCCGCTCAGGAAGTGACCCTGAGGGCGGGTGCAGCCAGCCAGAGGGCTCCCTGGGGCCCTGGTGAGCTGACAGGCCTTTCCCAGGCACCCTCCTTTGCTTCTATGTGTGATCTTTTTAAATGCTCTCGAAATCATGAAAGGTAAGTGTTATTTTACCTGTTCATACATTTGAGAGAAACAGCTTTCCTGGGTCTCATGTTTAATAACTGGCTGAAGTCTGTTCCTCCAACACCTCTACACCGCGATCACACACACACTCACACACACACTCACACACACACACACACACACACACACACATTCTCTCTCTCTCCCTCTCTCTCTCTCTCTGTAGATCTGTCCCCTCACCGGCTTCCCCTTTCCAGGTCCCCATTTGCAGGATGGGAGGTCAAGCATCATATGTGCTCATTATAACCTCTTCCCTGGCAAGTCCAAGGAACACAGGACTTCCAGACAAAGCATATCCATTTATCCTTCATCGTGACAAAAAAGAACCGCACAGTTTTCTGCATTGTAGCTGTCCTGTGGACGAGGCCAGTTCATCTCTTTCACGGAGTGAGCAGGGCGGTCCCAGCTGCCCAGCAAAGGCAGTAGGAGGCTTGCTGGGAACGTGGTGTGGTTTTCCTGTACCTGATGCAATCTGCCCTGAGGGAAAGGACACAAATAATTATTATTCATTAGTTCATTTACTTTATTCTTTTATTCAATAAACTGTTTGGGGCCCCCGACTTTGAACAAGGGATTTTACCACATAAAGCATAAAATGAAAAAAAAATCAAAGGGAAAATAAGAAAAACTTTTTTAATGAAAAGAGTTTGTTTCTTGTATTTGAAAATTTTAAGGTCTGAATTTTTTTTTTTTTTTGGTTACATATTCAAAGTAGTTTACTCAATGTTTGATTTATGCAAATTTCCTTTTTTTCTTCTCTTTTTCTCTTTGGCTATCTACCCCCTTTTGTCAGAATTTTTCTCTGTGTATGTGTGTGTGTGTTGAGAACACTTAATACGAGATCTGCCCTTTTAGCAGATCTTTAAGTGTAAATACACTACCATAATCTATAGGTGCAATGTTGTATAGCAGATCTCTGGATCTTCTCATCACACTTCACTGAAATTTTATAGACATATATAACATTTGCTCCATAGTAGTCTTAGATAAAGCAATGATAGAACAAATCTTTTTACCAGGACTTTGTTTTTCACGTTTCAGTTCCCAGTTCCCCACTCCAGCGTCCGGAATATGTGAGAGTTAATCAGTCTCTCTATGCCTGAGACGGTCTGCGATGGGTCGGAGAAGAGCATTCATTTGCTGAGAAAGCACAAGGCATTCATTTCTGCAAGCAAGTTTGTCAGTTCATATGGAAATTTCCAATTTTAAATATGGCGTATTCTTTAACCTGAATGAGTGTAAAGTCTATAAATATAATCTCATATCTAGGTTATTGAAGTTTG